CATTTACAAGTATTAAACCAATTAATAAATTAGAAAATAACAAAAGATTATCGAAAAACAAAGCCAACTTACATAACCAATTACGTATTTGCAAATTGAATCAAATCAACTTCACATAGCAATAAAAAAAAACAAAAGATATTCACAGAAATCACAGCCGACTTTAACATTTACAAGTATTAAACCAATTAATAATAAATTAGAAAATAACAAAAGATTATCGAAAAACAAAGCCAACTTACATAACTAATTACGTATTTGCAAACTGAATCAAATCAACTTCACGTAGCATTAAAAAAAACAAAAGATATTCACAGAAATCACAGCCAACTTGAATATTTATAAGTATTAAACCAATTAATAATAAATTACAAAATAACAAAAGATTATCGAAAAACAAAGCCAACTTACATAACTAATTACGTATTTGCAAACTGAATCAAATCAACTTCACATAGCAATAAAAAAAAAACAAAAGATATTCACAGAAATCACAGCCAACTTTAACTTTACAAGTATTAAACAATTAATAATAAATTAGAAAATAACAAAAGATTATCGAAAAACAAAGCCAACTTACATAACTAATTACATATAATTACGTTTTGCAAACTGAATCAAATCAACTTCACATAGCAATAAAAAAAAACAAAAGATATTCACAGAAATCAAGCCGCTTAATATTTACAAGTATTAAACCAATTAATAATAAATTACAAAATAACAAAAGATTATCGAAAAACAAAGCCAACTTACATAACTAATTACGTATTTGCAAACTGAATCAAATCAACTTCACATAGCATATAAAAAAAAACAAAAGATATTCACAGAAATCACAGCCGACTTAAACATTTACAAGTATTAAACCAATTAATAATAAATTACACAATAACAAAAGATTATCGAAAAACAAATCCAACTTACATAACTAATTACGTATTTGCAAATTGAATCAAATCAACTTCACGTAGCAATAAAAAAAAAACAAAAGATATTCACAGAAATCACAGCCAACTTAAACATTTACAAGTATTAAACCAATTAATAATAAATTACAAAATAACAAAAGGTTATCGAAAAACAAAGTCAACTTATATAACTAATTACATAACTAATTACGTATTTGCAAACTGAATCATATCAACTTCACATAGCAATAAAAAAAAAAACAAAAGATATTCACAGAAATCACAGCCGACTTAAACATTTACAAGTATTAAACCAATTAATAATAAATTACAAAATAACAAAAGATTATCGAAAAATTGTACAGAGCCAACTTATACTAATTCATTGAAATGAAGCGAATCGCAGATGTATGTTAAAATGTGTGCATGTATGGAAACGTCGGGACATCTGCACAAAGCGAAAGCAGTTTCGGATTTGAATACAGCAATTTCGTGTGCGAGTGCGTACGTTTTGCAGGAAAGTCGTAATCATCGTTGGATAACAATTTTCTGACCAGTTTTTTGTGGTCATGATAAAAACACTTTAACAAACACTTCGGCAATAAATTAATTGAGAAATTGCTAGTGATTATTGTTAAAAGTATTACAGTCGCACCCAACAAAACTTGTTGGAAATCTCTTAGAAAGCTTATAAATATAAGTTGAACTCAATTTAGTTAAATTAAACGTTTGGAATGGTGATGATTGGTTCGCTTTGAATTGAGTTTAACAGACAAACAAAGATTAAGATCCGCACAATTCAAGTGTAAAGTATCGTTCTCGATCTACCAAATACAATTAAACTAGATTTGCAGTGATCGCATCGAAATTCAGCAGGTAACATAGATATCATCTTTCTGTACAATTGGATCAGTGGTTCTTAACCTTTGCAGAGCCGCGACCCAGATCGTCGCTTAATGGTCGTGCGATCTTGGCATATCCATTTTCTACGTACTCATCATATTTAGTTTGATTTAATCGTTTCGATTCAATTTCCATACAACTTTTACAGATCTAGTTCGAATACTTTTAACACAAATCATCCAAATTGATTTCTTTCTTCATTTTTTGTGATGATTTTGTGCAGTTATAACAGTACATCTTCTTGTATTAGAAACGGCGAATACTTTAATTGCAAAATGTGTGTCGCGTCTAATTTATTGGATTTTTCTTGTTGTTGTTGCTCCAACGCAAAACCGAAGATGTGTGTTAATAAATTGAAGAAAAAAAAAAAACGGTAAGTGTATATTTCAAGAAGAGGTTACTTTTGGAAAGGTCATTAGTAATAACTATCTGCACTTGAACTCCGGCAGGTGTGTGTTTTGTGCCACATTCTGATCATCCTTTCACAAAATCGGTAATTGCGACGGAAATTTTCGCTTCGATCATGGAAACAACGCATGTCTTCGCGGCGAAGTGGAATTCCACGGGAAGAGAGATAAGAGGATGACCGATGAACGTTGAATGCCAAGTGGGAAGAGGGGACGTGGAAGAAAATGGTTAGAAATCCGCGGACGGCGCCGAATGCCAAGTTCTCTTATCAACGATTCCGCGAAGAGGATTTGATTCTTAATGTTGCGCGTGTTTGCGAATGGAATAGCAAAAAAATCCGATATTCCATCGGATGCATTGATTTCTCTTTTCCGCGCCGCATTTTTCGATTGCATCATCGATCTGGAAAGAAACCCTTGAAAGAAAGAAACAAGAAATACCGGATGAGAGTTAATTGCTGAACGCAATAGAGCACTTCTTCAGCTAAAGAAGCCGTCGTCGTCTTTGTTGTTTTCTTTATTGTATGTGTATGCTCTCATCGATCGGAGAATGAGAATAAACGAGAAGCACGGCAGTATTTCTTTTTTTCGTTTGATTGCCTTTCACTTTGCTCCGGGATTCGAATTTTGCGGCTTTCTTCTTCGGGCCGTGTGCGCCTCTCGCTTGACCCGCGACCTTTTCGCGCATCTCTTCTTTCACCGTTACCAATTTCGCATAAAACCATCGAAATCGCACACACGTGAAACGCATTTTCACATCACTTAGTCCCACGCTCCTTCTCCTTCTCATCCATTCATTATATTTATCATTTCAGCTTTTGGTTTCTTCATCATCATCATCTAATTCGACGTTTCCTCGTCCTGCCAGGATGCGTTGCGCAATAAGAAAGTAAATTAACACTTGCTGGCACAGACACTCACTTTGGAAATACATGTGTAAATGCACGAAACACTGTGAGTTTTGCATAATTCCTTCCGTTTCTCTCTTTCTTTTCTTCTTATTTATTTTCAGCGCTGAAAGAATGTAAGAAAAAGGACATGAAACGAATCTCATGAAGATTATAGAAGTCGATGTGAAATTCCACTTGATTTAGACAATTAGTGTGTGTGAACTAATGGAATCGATGGAATGCTTGTTTGCCTACGGAATGGACGGTTTTCCCACGTGAATTGAATCGATCGATGCAGAATTTCCGATTCCGTTTTCCGGGTGAAAGGCAAACAGTAATTACGTAATTATCTTTTTTTTTTAAGGAGCGCAATCAATTTTTCAGCAGCTGTAATTAACCTGAAGCGCGCACTTAATGACTGTCTTCACGAAAATCGATTAATCACCAATTATTAGTATGTGTATATATATATAAATAAGGGATGCGGAAATGCAAAGCGGAAAGATGTCTTTCTTCGAGCTGAACGTCAAGATCTTGAAGATCTCCGGTCTTTGGGTGCCTCTCGACGCGAGAAACTACAGACGAACGATGTGCCTGAACTTGAGCAACGTCTTTTACTCGATGGTGTTCTTCACGATAGCGGAATTCGCCGCGGTGCCAGCATCCGCAGCGGATCTCACCGATCTGGTGAAGAACCTGAACATGTCCGTGTCGTTCCTGCTGACCTTCTTCAAAGTCGCCGTTTGGTTCGTGCGCAGGAAGGAGATCTTGAACATCATGACGATCTTGCAGTCGACTTCCAACAGCTTCGAAAACGCTCCAGAATTTGACCCGAAACGCATCGTGGACAAAGAGCAGAAGATCAAAGACGCCCTCACCAAGACTTTCTTTGTTCTCGCGTTCACAGTACCCACGTCCGCTTGTCTCTTAACTTTGGGCACGGTCATCGTCAGCGATGACTTCAGCTTCAAGTTACCTTACCGCAGCTACGTCCCTTTCAATTACAGATCATCAAAATTTGCTTACAGCGTCGCACTGGTCTACCAATGCTTCGCTCTGTTGAGCTGCGGCACGATAACAGTGGGTTTCGACATGCTCTTCACCAGTTTGGTCAGCTTCACCAGCGCCCATCTGCAAATCCTCCAAGGCGCCTTTCGAACCATCAAAATTCGTTGCGTCAATCATAGAACCAAGAACGTTCGCAAAGACATGGAACGGGAAATGATCAAATGCGTTAAACATCTTCAACTGATAGTCGGGTTCGTAAAACCAAAATAAATCAAATTCAGATCAATTAATTTAACTTGAATTTCAGCATTTGCGACGCCCTAGAAAACATCTTCACCTACTTGATCTTACTACAAATGGTTGTTTCTCTAGTAGTTTTCTGCACTTGCCTCTATCTAATCTCTACAGTGCGTACTACAGCTTAAACAAACAAATTTAATTAACTTAAGTTTTCAGATGCCAATCACGAGTCTTGGTAACGAGATTGCTTACATGCTGGCTATAGAAAATCAGTTAGCAGTCTATTGCTACGCAGGAAATAAACTCACATCTAGAGTATACTATATAATAAATCAATTTTCCTGCAATACAACAGTTTTCTTTTAGGGCGAAGAAATACCTTTCGCCATCTACGAAAGCGACTGGTTCGGCGCCACAAAGCGTTACAAGAACGATATGATTATGACCATGATCAGGATGGGAAAACCCATCTACTTAACAGCCGGAAAATTCACCGTCCTCACGCTATCCACTTTCGTTACAGTTAGTAAACTAATTAAACATATCGATAGATTAAACTAACTATTATAACTATTCCAGATTGGAAGAGGCTCTTATTCTCTTCTGGCAATGTTGAAGAATAGTTAGGAAGTTAAATTGTACGCATTTTAGAATTTTAAAGAAAAAACTAGTTGAAATTAGTGGAGCGCAATTTTCAAATTCAAATTTACAGGTTAACCAACACAAAAGAAAAAAAATAGGAATAGAGAAATGAGTTAATCGTTGTTTTATTTTATTTTAATTATTATAAATCTATTAGTAATTAAAGTTTCGGTTCTTTTCAAAGTTAAATTTGTTTAATTATTGTGTATTTTCAAGGATTGCAGTAAAGTTTCGATTGTATGCTAGTAGTGGCGTCACTGTAAGCACATGTTTTTGTTTTTTCAATGTAACCTCAAAGCGACAGTCAAGAAATCAAAACAGCGAAGATGCCTATTTTTAAGCCGTTGAACACGAGGATCTACAAGAAACCAAACAAAGTGGTGACACCAGATGTGATATATTGGAAAAAGTTGGGGGTACGTAAAGATTTAAAGTTGCAACATTTTACTGGAAAATTACATATTTTTTATTGTTGTTGTTGTTATTGTAGGATCCTGTTTTGGTGAAAGAGTTTGGCCCCATCGATTACATAGACTTCTCTCCGCTGGAGCCACACCACTTTGCTGTCACATGCTCGGTGAGGGTGCAGGTCTACAATCCGATCACTAAGCTCGTCGTGAAAAACTTGTCCAGATTTAGGGAGAACGCTTACGGAGCGACGTTCAGGAACGATGGGAAACTGTTGTGTTCGGGGAGCGCAGAGTCTGTGGTTAAATTGTTTGATGTGTCGTCGAAAAGTTTACTCAGGTAAATGATTGAATGTTATCGCGGTCTTTTTGGTGGGACGCATCGCGTTCTTCTCTTCTCCTCCGCTTCGGGGAGACATTCCCAAGTGAGCAAGTTGCATTTGCCTGATCTCAGAGCTGCCCCATCGATTTTGCTCAACTTGTAGGCGTCCGGTTCAGGTTTCGTGTATAGATTCTTGTATTCGCTGTCGTTGGTGAATCTGGGATCTAGAGTGTCGCCGCACCAAACGTCCTTCTTGTAATCGACGAGGCCGTGGTTCATGGTGCTTCCAAAGTTTTTCAAGTAATCGATTCGCGGTAACGTCAGCGGTTTTCCTTTGTAAGATTCGGGTATGATGCGGTAGGAGACGTCGTAGGTAGTCGCATAATTGTCCAAGTAGTGAGTGCCGTTTTGGTGGAGGAGCAAATTGGCCGGTTGACCGAGACCTTTGTATTTGTTCCTGTCGCTCTCGTTCTCGTAGATGACTGGTTTCTTGGGAATGTACTCGGTTTTGTAGACGGATTCGTGGACGTGCTTCTGCTTCTTGTAACTGGAATTTTCCTCTACCCAATCGCCAATTAAGACCCTGTTATTGTACTTGGGCGCGGCTGGGAAGGTGAAGCCTTTCTGTTCCATATTAGAATTTTGTTACTGACGTGCAAACTATTGCTGTCAGCGTGATTGAAGACGTTTAGTTAATCTAGCCTGTGCACAATTTTATTTTTATTTTTTTTTTCATCGTTCACTTTGTCTTGGTTTCAGGTTGTTCAAAGGGCACACGGCTGAAGTGCACAGGACGTTCTTCGTGGAGGATAGACCGCAAATTATATCGTATTCGGATGATAAGAGCGTGAAGGTGTGGGATATATCGACGGAGAAGGAGATCGTCACGTACTCGGAGCACACGGATTACGTGAGGGCCGGAGCCGTGAATCCCATCATGCCTGACATAACGATATCCGGCGGTTACGATGGGGTGGTGAAAATGTACGATGCACGAGTCGGCGCGTCGATCTTGACCGCACAGCACGATGCGCCCGTCGAGTCGGTGCTGTTCCTGCCGAGCGGTGGTATATTCCTGTCTTGCGGTGGTACCGACATCAAGATTTGGGACATGATGGGCGCAAAGTTGCTCGGTTCAGTTTCGCAGCATCACAAGACCATCACGTGCATGCGATTGGCGTCGGACAACAAGAGACTGCTCTCCGGTAGTTTGGATAGGCACGTGAAGATATACGATACCAGCAACTTTGAAGTGGTTCACACGCTGACGTACCCCAATTCCATTTTGAGTTTGGGCGTATCGAGGAATGACGATACCGTTGTAGCCGGTCTGGTCGATGGATTGGTGTGCGTCAGTCGGCGGGAGGAGGACAAAGAAGAGGATGAGGCTAAGAAGATGTCCTCGTTCAAGTACAACGCGAAGAAGACCACGCTGCAGCCCACCGCGGACCTGGTGGTTTCGAGCACCGAGATGGGCATCCAGGCGAAGTACGACAGGAAACTGAAGAAGTTCCAATACAATAAAGCCTTCGAGACCGTGATGGCAAGCTACGTGATAAACAAGACGCCGCACGTGACGATGACCGTGCTGCAGGAGCTGCAGAGGCGCAAATGCTTGCATCGAGTCTTCGAGCAACTCGAGCACAGGTACATGCTGCTTCTACTCACCTTCTTCGTCCGTGGAATATCGGACGTGACCTTCTCCAGACCGCTGATTCCGATGATCCATATGTTCATGGACATCTGGGAATCGAAACTGGACACGTTACCATTGGAGATCGTCAAGAAAGTCATCGAGCTGTCGCACATGGTAACATTGGAGAACGACATTCTGGATCAGTTCAGCGTGCTGGAGGGATCGTTGCAGATGATCGTCGCAGCGTCGAGAGCTTCAGAGACTCCCAAAGATCCCCTGCAGAAATTGAATCTGATGCCCAGTGAGGAAGCGCAGAAAAAGTTAGTCCTGAATTTAACATAAGAAATACAATGAAACACGTACAAAAACACGCGCAATCAACGCAAAGAGTCTAATTTATTCTGACAATCCTCCAATTTAAGATACAGTTCGGTTAATTCCGCTTCGCTCAGATCGAGCGTGACCCTTTCATCGTCCGCTCCGAGGAAATCGGATAAGCTGAGCTGAAATCTCCCGCGGAGCTCATCGCTCCGTAAAACTATCTCCCACGTCACGTCGTCCACCTTCTTCCTCGTACCCAAATCCCCGAACCTCTTCGCCGCCTGCTCCGACCACACCTTGACGAAACACTCGGCTTTCTCGTTCTCGAATTTCAGGACCTCCACCAAATTCTTCTGCAACACCGACGGCTTGATTATGATCTGATTGGCCTTCGTCATTATGTACTCGATGCACTGCACGAGAATCTGCACGTTGTCGCCGGACAATTTCAGTGAACTTTCGAGAGATTTCAAGTACTCCTCCGGGAAGTCACCTTCGACACTTTGCAACAAAACTTCTCTGTACATATCATCATCATCGGGTATTGAATTTACCAAACCCACTGCCTCCAGTAACCTGAAAAATCAAACATTAGAACTAATTACAATTAAATTTGTTTGAAATTACCTTTTAGAAGTTTTAATCCACGGTAATGAAGACATTATTATTATTCTTTTGTAACCAGGATCTCCAACTATAGGAACACAAAAATACAGATATTATGAAACAAAACAACAAAATACTATAGGATGTTAAGATTTTTGGAAGCTACAAATGCTGAAAGAATTTCAGCGTACTTTTTGTTTTCAGGTTACACTGAAAAAAAGCGCAAACAAATACCTACAGATCTGTCAAAGTTGACGTCTATCTGACGTTTGGAGGTTGGTTTTATTTCTTTGCGTTATTATGGGGGAGAGCGCTCAAGACAGTTACCAGAAGAGATGGGGCCACCTGAGGAAGGTGCTGGAGCGTCAGGGGCCCTTCGGGCATCCGGAATTCGAACCGTCGCCGGAGATCCTCGAATTCGTGATGAACGGTTGCAAGATTCTGGTGATCGGAGCCGGGGGTCTCGGCTGCGAACTTCTCAAGGATCTCGCCCTGATGGGTTTCAAGAATATCCATGTCATCGATATGGATACCATCGAGCTCTCCAATCTCAACAGACAGTTCCTCTTCCGACGCAAAGATATTGGAATGTCGAAGGCGGAATGCGCTGCGGCGTTCATCAATTCCAGAGTGCACGGCTGCCAGGTGACACCACACTACAAGAGAATCCAAGACTTCGACGAAAGCTTCTACAGGCAGTTCCACGTGATTGTTTGTGGATTGGATTCGATCGTGGCGAGGAGATGGATCAACGGAATGATGATTTCTATGCTGCAATACGATGATGGGGTTCTCGATCAAAGCAGTCTGATTCCAATTGTCGATGGAGGTATAAAATTAAATGCATTTGATAAATCTTGAATTTTTATATGTTATTGTTTCAGGGACGGAGGGATTCAAAGGAAATGCCAGAGTGATAATGCCAGGATTGACTGCTTGCATTGAGTGCACTTTGGATCTGTACCCACCGCAAATAACGTATCCACTGTGCACTATTGCGAATACGCCTAGGCTGCCGGAGCACTGCATCGAGTATGTGAAAGTGGTGCAATGGCCTAAGGAGAACCCTTGGGGCTCCAATATCGATGGAGACGATCCGCAGCATATAACGTGGATCTACGAGAAGAGCGCAGAGCGGGCTTTGCAATTCAACATCACAGGCCTCTCCTACAGATTGGTGCAAGGGGTCGTCAAAAACATAATTCCAGCTGTGGCTTCGACGAATGCAGTTATTGCAGCCGTTTGCGCGACCGAGGTAAAAATCTACAATCTTCTCGATTGATTATTAATGTTGTAAACGCATTTGCAGGTGTTCAAACTGGCGACGAGCTGCTGCGTTCCCATGAACAACTACATGGTCTTCAACGACGTCGACGGAATATACTCGTACACGTACGAAGCGGAGAAGAAGTCCAACTGCTTGGCGTGTTCGCAGGTGCCGCAAACGTTGGAGATCAAGGATCCGTCGAAGATGAAGTTGAAGGATTTGATACAGGTGCTCTGCGAGAGCGCCTCATTCCAAATGAGAAATCCTGGCCTGACCACCTACATCAACGGCAAAAACAAGACGCTCTACATGTCGACGATCAAGAGCATCGAGGAGAGGACCAGGGATAACTTGAATAAGACTTTAACTGATTTAGGATTAAGTGATAATTGTGAGATTATGGTAGCCGATCAGACATCACCCAACACGCTCATTTTAAAGCTGAAATACTTGATCGAAGATGTAAACATGGATTAAGACAAATACGCGCATCCACACACATTTAATATTTATTTGTTTCCAATAAAAAATATATATATATATATTCGATATAACTCAATTTATAGATATTGTTGTTTAAATAATTTAAACTTGGCGGTTTCCTTTTCACGTCTGGTGGGTGGGAGTCGCGTTGTGTCTTCGTACAGATGGGAACACTGCTTGGTAACAATGCAATTCAAAAACGGAAGTTGTAGCCTTTGGATACGACACCTATGATTTTGTTTACGTTTATTTTTGTGTTGATTGTTGTGTTTGTTCTGTGATAACTTTAAACGAATCCAGCGATAATGGATAATGAATTGCTCAGGAAGATCTTCCTGTGCAAAGAGCATTTGAGCTCTTTAAACGGTGCAAAGGTTACTGCAAGCAACAGTGATAAACAGTTCAATGTTGTGCCTTGGTTTCAAGTAAGTTATTCATACATAATCATTTGTAAACATAGCGCAACGTTATCCTTTGTCCACTAATACTAACTTTTATTGTTTTTTTTTTCTTTCAAAAATCATATTTTTCTCAACGGTTTTTTCGTGATACGTTTATACAACCAAATTTACCTAACGGTGCAACGGGGTTTCATATTAAAATTATTCAAATGTTTTTATTTTTTTTAATAATTAATTAACAAATATTTCCATATGAGAAAGTGACCTTAATCAACAATTAAAATTATTATTCTCTTCATGCTCTAAACTTTCTTTTTATTTCCACTAAAGCTTAATTAGAATATGCTCATATTAGGTTTAATGTTTTGGGCATTGAAAGCCATATTGGGGAAATGGATTGTATGTAATAGATTTCTTTTTTTACTGTTGCAGGATTTATGTGATAAAATTGCTTCATTGCTTTTGCAAATTACTGAAAATGTAAGGAAGATCAGTACGAGCCTCGGAGGACAGGCTAAAGAAAAAATGCTCTTATATTTGCTGCAACTCAACACTGCTCTCTCTGTGCTGATCAGGATATTCCTATCGGAGAGCGAACACAACATAATTATAACTGCAAGTCTTTACTTTACAACACCGTTGGTATTGTTTTAATTGTTTTGTTGTTTTTTTTAGGCGGCTCGTTATTGCATATCTAAGCAAATATGTTTATGCTTGGACGGGCTCGAGGAGGTGCTTGTAAACATGCAGATGGACGACGACACGGAAGGTTTCGTGAAATACATGGACGCGGCTTTGGAGAGAGTTACCGAGATCGACGTGGAAAAGGGAAGGCAGATCGCTCTGAACGTCTGCGGCGAAGCGAGGAGAGCCATCGAAGAGGTCCTCTGTCACGGCATGTCCATCGCTCAAGTGGCGTTGAACGACGATTGCAACAGCATCAAAGGCGGAAGCAAAGAGGTCCTAAGCAACATGGAATCGCTGACGCAGCAGATCAACAAGGACGAACCGAACGTATCGATGTGCAATCTGTTCGTCGATTCCTGCTGCGACAAGCTCTGCGCGCTCGAACGTAAAGTCAACGTCGCCGTGCTCAAGTTAAGTCTGAAAGTGTTCTCGGAATGCACTAAGCCTCTGGAGGATCTGTACGACTTTTGCGCGATGGACGATAATCTGAACGGCTGCGAGGAGGATTTCGATAATCTGGTGGCGGACTTTGATTTGCACGTGGACCGGATGATCCAAGTGGGGCTGTTCGCCGTCTCCTGTTCGACCGATACGAATTGTTCGTGTATTATGCCAATCGCAATTGATTGATTAATGTTTTCTTTTTCCAATGATCTTCAGGCACTTTGAGGATGAGGAGTTGCTTGGCAAGCTTGGAGGCGCTCGAAGGGGATCTGGTGCCTGCGTTGACGACGATCCGATCGGATCCGAACAAGCACAACCGGCTCTTCGCGAACACCTTGAAAAACTACTGGATCAAGCAAGCTCTGACGCTGAAAAAGTATATATACTGCATCATAGATCCTTTCGCCTTTTGCCAGGTACACTATTATTGCATGCACAACATTTAACAAACAAACAAACAAAAAAAACTAGACCCGTTACGAGTTTACAAAGTTTTGAAACTCGAAGGTGACTTACGAAGTCATAAGGGAGATCAACGAGGAGCTGGAGGAGAAGTTCAAGTCCAGCTCGCCGGTGGACAAGGATCTCGTCAAGCCGATAACGCTGCAGACGAAAATCCTGTTCGAGATGTTGGTCGTCAGCGTGAAGGACAGTCCACCGGAAAACCAGGAAACCGTCAAGAAATATTTGACAGACGTTATCAACGGTAAGGATTATTCCATTTCCTTCCCCTAAACCGTTTATTTGCACGTTGCATTTGCAGTTACCGTTGAGATTGACGCGGCCGCCGATAAGCTGCTGAGCGAGAAGGAAATCTGCAAGGAGAACGTGTTCAGGGTGTTCAAACGGTGCAAGATCCAGGAAAACCTCCTGAAGAAGTTGCTCTGCAGTCTCGGCGGAAACTTCGCCGACAAATCAGTGATAAGTGAGTTACATAAACGATTCGAGACTTTATATATATATATGTGACTTAATTGCAGACGAAAAATGCGAGATGCGGGTGGCAGATTCAGAGACGGCCGCGATGGAAGCTCTGATGTGCAAGGCTAAGCAGATCCTGAAGGATAGGAGCGTTCTGTACAGAACGCCCAATAAGAGCCGGATAGTTAACAAGAGTGAGTAGAGGACGAGTTTTTATTTTTGCGATGATTAATCGTAATTGTAATGTATTCAGATCAGACGAGGACGAAAACACCTATAACGCGATTGGTGCATCTGCGCAACATGCAGTTCACGCACTCGCGTCTCTCGAACGAAACTTCGATAGATCTGCAGATCACAGACATCCTCGACAATCTGACAACGCTCTCGACATCACTGATGAATTGAATTATCATTATTTTATACTATATACACTTATATATATAAAAAAATAAACGTTTTATATGCCTTTCATTTGAACTCTCTCAATTTCATCTTGATTTTCTTTCTAATCTTAGTTATTAGGTGGACGACGACGACGACTTCGATATATATAAAATAAAAAGCATATATTATAAGTAATCAAATACATTATGTACAAATACATAGACAAAAATAAAAAATAATAGAGAAACATAATTAAAGTAATATAAATAAATACGCCCTTAAATAAGTGTTGTTGTTTTTTTTTCTTTCTTTCTTTGTTCTTTTCGTGTAAGGAGATAAACAGATCCAAAATAAATGTAGACTAAATGAATATGGGTGTGTGTGTGTTGGGGGTGGGACGACGACAAACAACAAAAACCAATCAAAAACTCTCTAGAGTCTACGACCCGCCCCCTTTCCGAGAACGAAAGAGGCGGGCACGTTTCGCTCTCCACTCACAACAGTCTTGATTCCCAATTGATTTCTCATTCTCTCTCTCTCTCTCGCCAATTTTGTATTCCTTCATCACTTCTCATTCCATTCACTTCATCAACAAAATACAAGTAATAATAATATTAATAATAATAATAAGAAGATAGTAATAGTTAATAAACACATTTCTCTCATTCGTTTCTCTTTTTTTTTGTATCATCTAACAATTAACGCTTATGGATGGATCGTTTTGTCCGGTACGAAATTGATTCGAAACGAAAAAACAAAAAAAAGTGTTAATATTAATTATCATGATAGTACGTGGAAACGTAAGTTAACTTGCATCGGATCTCATCATCATCCATGTATACAAAGCTAGTAATTTTATGTACAAATATTGGTCCGACGCAAGTTAAACTGTTCGATAGAAACGAATCGTTATTCCACACTTCCTCTTCCCCTATTTTTTTTTTTTGTAATACTTAAAATCACATTCATTTAATTAAACCCAAAACAATACTATTCAAACTCGTTCCACATCAAATAAATTAAATTTCCTATTTGTTTGCTTTTTTTCCCCCCACGTTCGTCGCCGCTCGTTCGTGTCGGTCACCACTCGTGTTTTTGTGTGTAATGTATGTGTGTGTGTTATGTGTTTCTAAGAGTTTAATCTATACATATTGTATATAGTTAAGCATCTGAACAAACGGCGGCGGCGAAAATATTTGTTTGTAGGTAATTCTTCTTTTGTTGTTGTTGTTATTTGCTTCATTTTTGTGTCTTTCTTTCTTCTTTTTAATCGGAATCGTCGTCCGTCCCGAATTCGGGAAGATCGGCGGACTGGAGGTGGCCCTTCACGAGGGCGTACTCGATGAGCGCGATGTGACAGAAGACGTACTGATCGGGCATCTGGATGGAGTACGCTCTCTGCGATCGGATCTTCTCGACGGTTCCACGGATATCCGCAGATCCGACGTCCTCCAACCTCGATATGCAAATGTCCAAAGTGCAGAAGGTGCCTGAAACAGAAACAATAAAATTAGTAAAATACGAGCGAGCAACTCACGATTCAATCCTACGACCCATTAAGTTCAATTTGTAACGCGGAACTCTCCAATAAAATGTTAACAGAACGTTCAGATTATTATGCAAACGCAATCTACAGATGGTCTCTGCAGAAGCAATTATCCGCGCATTCCAATTAATAACATCAACATCACATTTCCTTCAAAAAAAAAATACAGTAGACATGCAAATGTAAAGACTATTTTTCAAACTAAAATTCAACATTTATCATTCAAATATTGGCAAATTCGCACGGAAACTACCGATAAGGCTACATGCACAACGATAAGACGACTTTTAAATAAAGCGACGCAAAAAAATAAACAAATAAATACACAAAACAGACCGACATGAAAATCCTTAATCGTTCTTCGAAAACTAATCTGTTTCACAAAAATAAGTTTTACTCGACTATATAAATTCATATATTTATTTATTTATTCATTCGCCAAAGCCGCATTTAATCTACACTTTATAAGTAGAGACGGCGATAAACTTTTGCCTGTACAGACTTTTCCTTTTATCGGAAAATCGAAGCTATTATTACTAATTTTTGTGTGTGTTTGAGAAAAGAACAACATCTAGACGTAAACCTAATAATATTCATATGGCAAACAGAGATGTGTTTACAGAAGTATATGAGGAGGCTCATTGATGATAACCGTGACATAATCTAATACGCGCGATAAAGGATTCCAATTCCCAAGCCCATTCATTTCGTTATTGACATGCGTTACACATGAATATTTGATCCGGCAATCGCACACGCTTAATCACTTCCTTATTGCAAGCAAATGCAACAATTTACTCTTAACATTGCAATCTAATATTTCTATAGAGTTATAAAATGAGTTTTGTAATGTTTCGTTTACCTGTCCTTCCTATTCCCGCGCTGCAGTGGACGACGATGGGCGGTCCACGGGGATGTCCGGCCCAGGTGTCGCCCATGGCCAAGACCATCGCGGCTTGCTGTCTTCTCACCCTCTCGAGAAACTCGAGCATGGCCTTCGCGGATTGCGGAACTCCGTAGTCGGGCCATGAGGTGAATTGCCAGTGGGACACGTTCCTCACTTCGTCCGTCTACAAAAGAAAACAATTAAAATGAGTTATGTTACATAAATAGATTGAACTTTTGGTACTTTTTTTTTGTTTGTTATCGTTTACTGTGTAAAAGTATTGTAAAAGTAATAAACAAACAAGGAGTAATCTATATTCGTTAATTGACTTGGCGCGCGATTTAGTAGTAGAACTTGGCAACAGGCGACGATCCAAAAATCGCGAGGTTCTCTTCTTCTCTTGACTCATTAATTTTCATTGTATATAAACAGTATTTCCTTACACAAATATTTGTAAAGTAATGAAAGAACAAATGAGGAAAGTTGACAATTATTAATTAACACCCGTTTGTTTGGAATCCGCGATGGTCTTGGAATTTAAACAAAACTGATTCATTTTTGACGCTTTTTGAAATTGAAATTTACAACTTTTTGGAATTTGAGGTAAGAAAGAGATTGATTTAATTATATAATTGATGAAAAGATTGTGAAGATTTGCGGTAAGAAATGCGTGGTATTGTAATTAGTTTTGATGTGTGTTGCAGTTAGTTACTTACTTTGGAGTTGGACAATTGCAGGGTGGAAACGGTGTAGTCGGCGTTGGCCTCCTTGGCGAGGGTGGAAATGGTGAAGTCGCCGTAGACGACTTTGCCGTTCAAGTCGGCCTCCCAGTACTGGTGGCACTTGGGTCGACTGCGCTCCATGGCGCGCGTCGTCATCACAATGACGAGAGTCTGTTGCTCCCAGATCATCCGCCAGAATTCGGCGGCCGTCTTCGGAAGCGGGCCCTGCGTGTTGATGAAGGCGTTCTTCTGTTTGTAGCCGTCGACGAAGTTGGCGTGGATGTAGTCCGTGTCCGACTCGCCGTCCAGCTCTGAGAGGATGACGCGACTGTGGTCGTAGCAGAGGACGTCCGTGTACCGGTTCTTGGGAAGATTGTTCTTCAGCTTGGCGACGGTGAAGGTGCCGTCCGGCGGTCGCGTCCTGATCTCCATGTAGTCTTGCGTGAGACCCTCGCGGCCGCGGTCGCGCACGTGCTCCACCAGCTGAGCGATCGTCATCGCGGCGCCGTCTCCGTGGAGAGAGTCGTCGTCGGAGAAGCCGCTCGAAGCGCTGCTCGGCGGATTGAGGCTGCCCTCCTCCGCCCAGCTGCTCTCCATGTTGTTGATGTTGTTTATGTTATTGGGGGATGCGGAGATCTCCAGCTCGTTGTTGGTGGTGGTGGTGTTATTGGTGTTGTTGCTGCTGCTGATGAGTTTCTGCGGCGACGATGGCGATTTGCCATCGTGCGTGCTGTTCGGCGGCGAGTCCGGGCGCGTGGTCATTTGGAGGCAATCCTCGAGCCAGCCATCGTGATCCAAGGGAAGATTCCCACCCAGCTGCGTAGGCAGCGACTCCCGCGGGATGTGGCTGAGCAGTTGCGCCACCGACACGGTGTACACGCGCTCCCTGAGCTTCTCCCTCACGAACAGACGCAAGATTTTAAAGGGAGCCTTGAACCACAACGGGGCCGTCACTATGAGCACCTTTTTCAGCTTTGCCGGATAACCACCCTGCAAACAAAACAACAACATTAGCAACAATCTCGATCCCAATAAGAACAGAAGGTAAAATATCATACATGTTCGAGTATCAAATGAATTAATCTATAAATCTTCCAGCTCAACGATTAAATACAATTATTAAGTAATTAACAAACACGAGATGATCTACGAGAGATAGAAATAAGTCTCTGATTCAATGGAATCAGCATAAATTAGCCAACGCTAAACACGTATCGTCGCATTAGAAGGCTAATGCTAAACCTAAGCATCACACATCATGGGGGGCTCCTACCTACGCGACGCGAACAACTGCGTGGTCACTTGGCTTTGACATTTAACACTTTTATGGAGAAAATCGTTTCGTTTTCCTCGCCATACACAAAACCAACCAAAATATTATTACATTACTCTATACGACCACAGAACTCGGTCAGCGCTGGGGGCAGGAGAGAGAGAGAATGTACGAAAAGCCAATAGAGCTGGCCGAGGTTCAAGAAAAGAAAAAAAAGTTAAAAAACTTCGCACCGAAAATACATCCGTCTTCGCAACCCTACCTGTAGTTGGAAGCTTAGGCCATCGCCGTTACGTAACGATCACACATGATGATGATGATGGGTCGTTGTCCACCAATAACACACAATTCTATAATATTTCCCCTATTTTCCTCGCAACACACAATAACACAACTGATTTGTTTCTTTTTTTTTTCTCCCCTTTCCTTTCGGATATTTGTTTCGTGTAATTTTCCTTCTGCTTCCTCCTCGTAACTGTCGTGTCGTGTTCTGAAATCGCGACGCGTACAGCAAACAGTGTCGACCCGCACGCAAATCGATCCCCGTTCTCTACGCCAGAAGCGGAGATGCGTCGCGACGCCACCAGAGCGACGGCGCCGCGACGCAGGCGCCACGTCATCCATCCCCGCGCGTCAACAAAACAAACACCGTTGCAAATTTAGCGACAATCTTATATAAAAACAAAACTAATAAACGCGCTCTTCAGTTGATCCATTCGTTTGCACGATTGTTAAGTGTAATTGAACGTCAATTAAAATTAAAAAAAAAAAACACTTCAATTGAATTGAAAATCATCGGCGTCCAGATTTGTTGTTTTTTTAATAAATAAATGCTATATTTCCATGGAAACCATAGTGATTCCTTTAATTTCGATGATGATGTTTAATTTGTAAATCGTTTCAATTAAAGAAAACAAAACCTGCTTCGATTGAAATCGTATTGTCGCAAATGTTTGTGCGAATATTTCGAATACGATACGATATGCACGCGCGCCAGGAATTTGTTGCGATGCAAATATATCATGGTTGTATTATTAAAAAAAAATTATATAAAAAAAAATATGGCAATTATTTTCGTTCTTTTGTTTGTAAACATTACAGCGTCCTTCTGTAACACACATTGTCCTACTTGATCCGAATATAAAGTTGGCCAAATCACGGCTAATTCCGATTTGTATTGGCAAAATTAAATTCGAGTCAATTTAGTGCGAGTTTCGCTCTGGTTTTTTGTTGTTGTTATTGTTGTATATATTTGTGCGCACATTTCGATATACAACGTGAGCGAGCGTTGAAAAATTTGCAATGCAAAAATCTGCGGTCGGTACGTGCAAGAAAAGAAGTGCAAGGAAGTGGGAATTGGTGGTCCCAAAAACGACGACGCACAACGAAGGAGAAAAAAAACGAATGAATCATCGTCGTCGTCGAGAGAAAGAAAGAGAGAGAGACACGCGCGGCATTGCCATTCCCAGAGTTGCATCAATTACATAATTCCTCATTGTCTTGCAAATTATTTCTATTATTCTCATATATTTATACACAGTTTTTTTTTTGTATTTTTATTTTGCTTCTACGTGAACCGTGCGAGAATATGCGTGTTACACAAGTGGCGAAAGAGGAACAAATGCTGAGTGAAGATGAAAGTCTCCTTCTGGAGGTGTCGCGCAGACTGACCTTTTGGAGGAGCGTTCCGGATGGCTTAATATATATTTGATATCCTTAGACCACACTGAGAAGGAACTGCGGAGCACTACTAATACTACTGCTAAACAGGAACAAAGTCTCTCTCTCTACACTCAGTCAGATTCGAATCTATTCCGCTGCTCGCTCCACGTTCTGGGTCGAGACTTCAAAGACAGCTGCGCGCAGCAAACCGCACTCCGTCGTTCGCTCACACCTGGCGGCACTCTCGGATACACGTACACATATATATATATATATATATATAGAAAATATCCTTCTGCGAAACATTGGGGGATTTACCGCCACCGAATGAAGAGAACGCTCGAAATGAACCACCCTTACTTGAGCATATTTCGTCCCCTATATAGCATAGATAAAGTGAGACAGACGCATTGTCAAACGCACACACAAATGGATAGATAATAGCGCTTTTTATTCCTCATCTTTCAAGTCTCTCTCTCTCATTTTTTCATCTTCTTCTTCAAGCATTCTCTACAAATCGGAACGAACGCGACAGGAGAATTAAACCGATAGGGGAAATTAAAATGGAAACCGATTCTTCAGAAAGAAATTGCGATTTTCTTTTACAATTCAAATGCTCCATTATGATTGTACTTCGTTTCATGCTCGATGCAAACGAAGGAGGAATTGATGCACACTCATCATCATCTATATTTCCAATTCAGAAATTTACCGTATCTCTACATACACGTACGATTTCAATACAAACATGATTGACTCATATTTTATCAGAAATTTCCTGATGATCCAGAGCAAATTAGTTAATTGCATCGTAATAAAAATGTAGATAAAGTAGCCTGAATGGAAATTAACACAGTTTTTGCAAGCTTTTGAATCAACAGGAATTGGTTTACACTTTGTTTATTTATTCAATCGTTGAATGTATGGATTCGATTAAATAAATACGAGGAGGGACGGCACAAAAAAAAGATGTGTTACATAACAATGCACTTGCTGCGCTTGCAGGGCTTCGGCTTGGGCTGACACGACGGTTTGCGGGAATGCGGAGAGGAGGACGGTTTTCGTGAAGCGGATGAGCATCGCCCTTTTCGTCCACGTCCTCCTCTGGAACCGCCGCTCTTCCTGCGCTTTCCGTGCCTGCTCCGGCTGCCACCGCTCCGTTTCCGTTTATGCTGCTTGTTTTGCGAGGATTTGCAGCTGTTGTTGCTCTCCGAGAGGGCCATCTTCAGGCATCCGCTGCTCACCGCAGGTACCGGTATGTTGCAGATCATGCGACGCACCTCCTTCTGCACGCGCGGCGCGTTCTTATCGCGATTACCCTGACAACAGCACCGGGTCAAACGGCTGCAGACGCCGTGATCGACGAGCTTGTGTCGATCGCGACTGCTCAGGATTCGCTTCCTCCGTTTGAACTCGAAATTCTTGTCGACGATCAACTTCTCGGGCTTGTAGATCTTGCATCTGTTGTACGCGTTCTTCCGTTCCGGGGACATGTTGACCCAGCGCTGCACCAGGTTGTGCGCCACCTTGATGGGGGGCCAATTGGTGTGCCGCTGCCGGAAGTCGCGCAGGAAGTTAAAGTACGAGGTCGGCTTGCGGACGTTCTGCCTGTGGCACGTTTTGCTGGCGCTGCGAGAACGGCCTCTTTTCCTCTTACCACTGGGATTTTTGCGACGACACGGCGGCATCGCATGTTTCTACTTCTTCGCGTACACCGAAATTTGCGCACTTCCTTCACATGGCCGAAAATACTAAACGTCTACGTCAAATAAACTGACTGACTGACTGCGTCACCTACCTTGAGCAATGTGAGGATCTTCTGCGAGAGGTCGTAGTCGAAATTGGAGTACTTCGAGTTGGACATGTCGTAAATGAAGACGATGCCGTTCCTCTGCGTCGTGGGGTTCTTGAGGGCGACGTCCAACTGGTAGACGACACCCTGGAGGGTTGTCTGGTGCGTGCTTATGGACGGGATGTGTTTGTGGGCTGTGAACACAACTATCGCCGCCTCGCTACCATCTCGTTTAGGCTGCAACACAATCAATCAAAATATGAACAACGTTCGGAACAGAGACTTACCAAAACTGTGAATTTTCCAGTCTTCAATTCGGAGAACAGTGGTTCCGTGTTTGGGTCGAAATTGGCTAGGCCCTCTCTGTGTCTGGTCAGCTCGTGCTGCTGGAAGAGAGCCACCGCTCTGTCCACGTCGAACTTACGGGCGAACAGAAATCGCACCGCCGTCGACCATTTGATGGGTCCCTGCTGCTTCCAGCGACATCGCGCATTCACTATCTCCAGGAATTTCTCTGCGGCCTGCGGAAGAAAACACGTAAATTAAACGACAATTAAACCGAGAACACAGGAATGGAAACGCAATCAAATCTCACGCACACCGGAAACTCCATTTCCGGACATCCTCCAACCAAAAACGTGCGTACTTCTTCTTCTTTTTTTGTTTTTAACGCCTATTAATCTCACCTAAATCGTGGTACCGTCGATGCCCAAAAATAAATTAACAAAAGCCGCGCTAGGTAACTAAGCAACTATTGTTATTTTTTTTATTTGGAAAACAATCAAGCGGATGAACGGTGCGAAAGTTCGCGAAAGTGAAATCCAGGTAATTCGAAACTCTGCTACTTCTCAGTGATATTCCAATAACTTCTTAGCTGCGGCTACCGTATTCCTTACCGGAGCAGGTAAGTTTTTTTTTGTTGTTGTATCCGTTTATTTTCGTTCGATATGCACGACGCGTTCGATGGTCGACAGGTAAATGCTTCTGGTTCTGCAATGTCTCTGATGGCGTGAACTTACAGGCGTGGGCGGCGGAGGTAGGAGAAAGAAGCGCGGAAGAAGTGGCCGGAAGTGCCGCGGGGGAGTGCGTCACACCGGAAGCGACCATTTATGTCGTCTCGCGTCGGAATCCGCGTCGCGCGACAAACGCACCTAATAACAATAAACCACCGATCATCATCATCATCAACAAAACCAACAAATTCTCTCCTCGTCTCTTCTTTCGGCTGTTAAACGAGAAGACGTGTCCGAATTTCGAAAAGCACCTTTCTGTTTGTTAATGATGATGATGAATTCGGTGCTCATTGTTTCTACAGTTTCCATGGCGACACAATTATTTTGAAAACGGAACCTCTTCCTGCTTCCCTCCGGCTATGGAAGTTTCACTTTCACCTGTGCACCGTCGTCGCTCGGCCGAATAATACCTTCTAATTGCAATTAGTCGATGACCGGAAAACTGACGTACTTTTACCCAGCGCTTACTCAACAATGACGTTTATGATCGCGTAATTTTCGTTTGTTTTTTTTTTGTTGTTGTTATTTCGTCCACGGCCAACGTTTCGACAGAACGAGATGTGATTCATGTGGATCTGTCGGTTTCCTGAAATCTTACGAAACGGTCACGAGAGAGAGACATGATTTACGGGCCGAAGAAGAGGAAACTCGGGCTAATTATGGAACGGGAACTTCCTCTCTGATTTTCAAAACACCCAACGAGACACGCACACTTAATTTTACTTGCCTAATGCAATCCATCCGTTGCGGTTCACACTTTACATTTATTTCAAAGTACTTCATTTTCAATAAGCTCCATTGCATAAAGTACAGAAATAATGGCTACTAAATCGACAGGTAAATACAATATACATGGATAATATACGTAAATGAAAAAGGATTAAACGAAGTTGGACAAATCAAATATTCTATAAAAATATTTAAAAATATTTATATACGTATAATATGTATATAAACTGGTGGAGGATTAAGAAGTCGGATGAGTTGAGAAAGCTCTTTGTAAAGTGCTGTTGTTTTAAGTTAAACTCTCTCGAGAGAGACTTCAACACTTGAGAGAATCTTAAGAGTCTCTGAAGCAGAGGGTTCTAACGACACGAGATGTTATAATTCAATCTTTGAGATAAGCAAGGATAGTAAAGAAAGTAATTACACTTAACCAATACTTAACATAGATCGAGTATGGAGGAAAATGAACATGAATTGGATAAGTTTGTATAACTTCAATGAACATTTATTATTAACTCTGATTCGTTGCGAGTCAGAATTGGGACAATGCAATTGCGGTTTCAATTCCAGTTCACTAGGCCACCATGACCGAAACCCGTAAATTACGCAATAGGATTAACTGTGGTGTTTCGATGAGAATTTCAAAAATGAATTACTTCAGCATAAAGCGTGAATTGACGGAGATTGTAAAATGAAAAGGTTTAATGCAGTTTCGATGTTATTTGAAGTGAACAGTCGGAACTGGATGCAACTGTTTGGAAAGTAAGGATATCCGTCGGGCTTTGACTACTTTTGTACGTTTGCAGTTCTCTTTTATTGTTGGAGTTGGATGACGCAAAAACGGTAGTGTTGAAGAGTATCTCGATGCGATTGAGAGATGAAGAAGTTGTATGAAGTCGGTTGATTGCGGTTTTCGGTAACCTAAAGTGAAAAGAAGGAGGACCGTTAAAGGTGAGCGTGTGACTAATGGACAATGGCATCCAACGGCATATTTAGATATTCATATCAATAACCCGGCTATACCGCTCGTCCCACTAATACCAATCAGGCGGACAGGGCCAAAGCGAAGCAAGCGGCTTCCGAACGACGGTGGCGGCGGCAAAGAGCTAATTTCTAATCACGAACGCACGTCTACATCTGAACCTGAAGAGGATCCTTCCTCACTGCATCGAAGAGGAACGGCGTAAGTAATCCCAAATTAGATGATCGAAACCTTGCTCGAGATGCCCTTTAGCCTCTCTTCGTTCGCAAACGACGCATCCGGAAAATTGGAGTTAATTGGCTTCGATTGGGGGCGATCATCGACAACCAATTTTAACGATTATTATTAGCTAACCAAACCAATTGAACAACATTTGCTTTTATCAGCTACGACGGAAAATTCAACAACAAAAAAAAAACACTTGCGTTCGATAACGTGGAAATATTTGCAGATTGCGCAAATTCTACTTCCTTTTTCGCTTACGACTTCGTGTCAACAAATTGCGACAATTAATTAATCACGTGCATTTTCGTAAGACACGAAACGCGCCCGAATATAATATTTCGGTTCCTGGAAGGAGGGAAGCGGTCGGAACGAGAGAGAAAGGAAATCGTTTACTCAGAAGCGACCATCGCTTCTGGAAACCGAACTTTCCACGGAAAAAGTATTTCAAAAATAGATTCATTCAATGCGCCGCACACGAAACCATCCACCACCTCCACGTGCATTCATTAATTTTAAAGCGCCCACATTACAGCCGCTAACTTTCCTTCCCGAAAATAACAACAACGAAATTATTATTTTATATTAAGTCTGCTGAATCGTTTCGACGTTGCTGTCTGATTGGCATGTGAAAAAAGCAAACAATTATATTTCTGATTTTCAGTTATACCAAATAAGATTGCAACGTCTTTATAGAACATTGATTCCCTCATTAAAAAATGTATGTGAGATTCGCGTATTTACAACCGTTTTAATCATTGTTTCTTAGGTAATTTTATTTTAGCATGGGAACAAGTTCGAGTGATTGGATGATAAATAATTATTTCTAGTTTTCTTTCTAGTCGAGTATGGAAAAGATTGCAAAATTGTTGTTGTTGGCTGGAAGTGCCATGGCAGTCGTACCGGAACGGGGACGGTATTCTAGCTGATACGGCAATAATGAGGTATGTCACTATTTAAATTGCGAAATACAAAAAGTCGTTTTCCGCGCGATTTGGAGATGCAGGCAAAGCACACTCACTCACTCGATCTCGCTAAAAAAGGGGTGGTTGCAATATCGCCCGGAATATTATAATGATCATCTACGCATTCCCAGCAACATGATGTTTCTCAATGAACGCACAAAAGCATGCTCTCTGGAGTTTCTAAAATGAGATGAGAAAGAATGTAGAATGGCGATTTCGTATGATGGATGCATGCTAAACTTCGTAAACACTACCATGATCTCGCATTTGGACGATGTTGTATGTAATATATACTTTGGCAAATATGATTTCATAAAGAGGTAGGTATAAATACTAAAAATGTGCAGTAAATGTGCTTTCAGTAAATGGAAACAGCTACGGCCACGTACCTAGGCTCTCTCACCTCACTCTCCCCCATCATCAAACTAAAACAGTTTGAAAAAACACACGCTTTTAGTATTAGGCGAAGCATCAATTTCGGGGATTCTTAAATTTAAACAAACAAACAAAAATCAAATCCCTCACGTGATTCTGAAACCCTCGTACCCTCCTTTTATGCAAACACGCACGCTTCCTGTTAAATAACTCGGATAAGAGGAATTGGCGAAGGTCACAGAGAGGTGGGACATTTTAGGAATAGAATTTTTGACGACGAGCCGCAGTTGTTGTGGTGGTGGTTATTTCCAGAAATCAAGGCTCGCCTGCGGTTACGCGGAAAACCAATTATAATGTGTTTTCAGGAAATACGAAATGTAAAAATTAAAAAAGAAAGACTGCACGAAATACATCCATTAGAGAGAAATTCATCCAAAAAATATTTTACTATTAGTAAACTCATTAATAATTAATTAATAATGAATAGGTCTCGTTCATCCGTTCATAATCTGATTTTTTGTTGTTTTCGAGCCTTGATTCTGAAAATAGCCGGATCGATTTTTCTTTTATATATAAATATGAGAGGAAATGCGATGGAAATGGGGTTTCTGATGATGATGATGAAATAAATATAGAATTGGGAATTCGCGATGAAAAGTTAAAACATTGAAAGCCATAGATTACGGAATAATAATTAGTCATCGATACACGAGTAATTTATCTGTTTTTGAGTCATTGCCGGAATTATACACATCGCTTATATGATTCCGACTACAATGATTATACTTTACATTCGACAATAAATAATAACATGAATGAATGAACTGTTTAATTCTTGTAAAGTATAATTCAGTTGTTGTTTATTTACAAACATCTACAGTATTTGAAATTGTTTGTTTATTTGTCACTTTCACAAATTTGTAATTGTGTTTTAGTTGCGAATTGGGTATGAACTATTTGAAGGTGTTGAATAGGATTGTATGTATTTAATGTAAGCTGAAATTATTTATTGTTTCAGGTCGAGGACTGCGAGAACCTTCGCTTCCTTCATAGATTATTATTATAAACAGTCAATTGATGTAATGGGTTTGGATCTGCGGATGTTGGATGCATTCTTATAGTTTTGGATGTATGTGAACGACGGCGGCGGTTGGAAGGAGTTTTGAAGATGCAGCGAAGTAATGAATCATCATCATCGCCCGCAGCATTTGGTAATGAAAATACCGGATGGCAACCCCGGTTATGCAATGAGTGCTTCGTTCGGGTAATTTGCAGGCGTGCGTTATGTATTTCAGATGCATGCATGTTGGTCTGTGCGTGGGTGGCGCGCGCCCTCGATTGATAGAGGATTATGATGATGGAATTCTCGCGATTTCTTCTGCCGCGTCTCTGCTAAGATGAACAAGAACAACAAGGAAAGGGGATGGAGGAGAGAAGGCGGATTGCAATTGGATGGAAGGCTGCGAATTAGCATTCCGTGCCCTTTGGATCGGTAATCTACAGGTAGCCAATGAATAGTAGTGAGAGTCGTCCTCCGCACAAGATCAATGTCAGATCGTGGTGCTCCAAATAAACAAACAATGGATCTGAACGACGACGAGCAGATGAAGAAGGAGGAGGAGGACGAGAAGGACAAGCAGAAGGTCTCCATTCTCTCGACTGTTATTATTGTTGTTGATGATGATGGTGATGGGTGGGAAATGAGGAAAAAAGAGATTAACCGGAATCCGCGTGGGCGCTGAACACATACACAGAGAGAGAGAGACACACGCATACACAATCGTTCTATACTGACAATGACTTCTTTCTCTGGCGGAGGAGAGCGGTTTTCGGTGGTCAATGACCTGCGACCATCTGCCACACGCTCCTCTCGGATCCGAGGACCAGATCATCCGGAGGACGATAAACGGACGTACAGCGGGGTCCACCATAAATTTGCATCCTACTCCACCTCGTCGAGTTACTTACAAGTTCCTGCTCTGTTGTCAGTTGGGCCGCCATTGCGCTATCCTCGTAAACACACGAAGTTCCTCTCTCACTGCTCGCACATCCACACGCCGCACTCAACTGCGCAATGAGAAAGTTTACTCGACCTCTGCCGATGGGACACCCCACTTCCCCATTCCCCTCCAGAAATAGTAGTTTAGTTTGCATTCCAGCCGGTCGGACGGACGGCCGGCCAGGACACGCCAGGAATTCACAACCTCTGGAGGAGAATGTCGACTACGACGACGTCGACAACAACAACAGAAGCTGGAGGAGGAAACGGAAGCAGAACGAAACGGGTATTACAATCAAAACAAAATCCGAAATTAAAAACTCTTTTTTTTTCTTTTCTTTTCCTTCCTTCTACCACTCTCGTTCCTTCGCACAAAAGGAAACACACCAATATGCAACGAAATAAAGAATCCTCAACAAACAAAAAAAAAATAATAATATTATACATATATAAAGAAATAATATAGAGAGATAGAGAGGATCGCGCACACTAACTAACTGTCTTGTAGAAAACTTAATCAATAAATTAAAACTTTTGTAAATCAATAAAAATAAAGGAAACATAATTTTCGATTGCGCGATCTTCACAGAACAACATTTTCTTCTTCATCTTTCTCATCTTTTTCGAGATATGTGTTAACAATTTTTCTTTTAAATTTAGTGAAAGTGCGCTCGCATCAGGGAACAAATCATATATTCAACATTTTCATCTTTTCAATCTAATCAAGTATTTCCAATCCAAATATATTTACATTACAAACGAATAATGCAGTTTTCCCTGTCTGTACACGACCACAGTTTTTTTGGTGTTTTGTACCAATCATTTTTTTTGTTTTGCGAGAGTTTTCTTTCTTCTTCTCCTCCTTCTTTACATATTTATATAATTTACAAGTATATATCACAATTCTTTCAGAACTTAAAACTTAAATTGCCTCTTGAATGAATTTATACATTATAAATCAGGAAAATAATTAATTAATTAATTAAAAAAAAACAAATATGAATTGATGAGAATTTGTACGATGTGCCAATGCGTGTGATGTCCCGTTGCTGTTCATGTTTTTATAAATATTATGAACAACATACCGGCGACATCTGTTGGCTTTTTTTTTATATATTTCTTAATACGTATATATTTTTCCTGCTAAATATATACGTATTAGTGGTGAGCACTGATCCCTAGGCGTTCTGCTTAGGGAATGCACTCCATGATTGCGGCCTTGTCGAACTTAAAGTTCAGCCACGAAGGCGCGCTGAAGACGTACTCGTCCTGCGCGCAGAAGAGCTGACGCTTCGACTGTACCTTCCGTTTGCTCTCGCCGTTCGAGGATGCGACGGTGGTGGTGGTAGTGGTGGTGTCGGTGGTGGTGAAGCTGTTGGATTTGGTATCCGTCGTCTTCACCGGTGGTTCCACCACGGTCATCACCACCGCAGCGATCGCCTTATTATTCTTGTTCGTGCTTTCGCCCTCGCTGAAGCTTGAGGACTTGTTCCTCTGGCGTTTCGGCTTGCAGCTCGAGATCGCCTTGATGCGCTTCACGAAGGGCAGCACCATGAAGAAGGAGTTCGCGCTCACGCCCATCTTCACCTTGGGCGTCATGTCTTTCTTGTTGTTCGGTAGATCGGCGATCGGAAACCACTGGCATGCCTTAATCTCGTACCTCGTCCTCGGCCGGAACGTGGTGTCCCTTGAAATTCCAGTAATTACATACAACCTCACCAATTGCTCGTTAATTACGGCTTCCAAGTAATGCTCGGGATTGATGTAACTGGATATATCGAATCCCGTTTCTTCGTACACTTCGCGGATGGCGCAGTGAGCCGGATCTTCGTCCTCGTTCACTTTGCCTTTGGGGAAGCCCCAGGAGGATTTTGCCCAGTAACTCTGAACCAGCAGCACGTGGCTGTTTCCCTCCGACAACAGAATCGCACCGTACGTCGGCACAGATTGCTTGTACTCCCTCCATTCATCCAGGATCTCGTTCAATCTACCTGCTTGACCTTGCAAGAACGGCAAATGCTACAACAAATCATAATTTCAAAAATCCATTAACATTCAAAACTTTTACACAATATATATATAGACTGCAAAGTTTATCAAATTGATAATTCACTGACAAATGAAAATGCTTTTTTTTTGTATTTGTGGTTTGTATGTATACCTGAAAGACGTGGGCTGCAAACTCCTTGAAATTGCAGCTCCTCAGTTTGTTATTATCGTTGTTGACATAAAAGTCAAGATAATACCAATAGGCCAGCTCTATTTGGAAGCAAATACGTATGTTGTTTTGTTTGGCCGCATCAGGAACATTGATGATGAAACGTCTGCAAAAGAAAAATAAAAGCATGAAACATTAATACAAGTAGTCTTTGACTGAAAGACAAATGAAGAACTTGTTTACACACAGGATTGTGTGGAGTGTTGTTATTGGCTGGCTTTCAATTAGAAAGTAATGTTATTGGCTAAAAATATGGCTTGACCTAGGTCGGTGTCCCGATTGCGATTCCCGACTATGACTACGGGAATGCGGGGGAGAGACTTGGAATGAAGTTATGCGATGCTGCAAAAAGCAAACACACACACACACAGTTTGAAAATAAATAAACACTTACGACAATAGGTCACTGAGCACGTCCAACGGAATCGAGTGTTCCGCGCTCTTCAAATCCAGATCTCCAATACTTTCCATCTTAGTTGCGGGCGTTTATGTTTGTAATTGCTAAATATTGACTGGCTGTTACGTAAAACGAAACGAAAAAAAATAAAAATCACAAACAAACAATCACCGAAAACAGCTTAAACTACGCACTAGAATGAACGCTTCTTCATGGCACGGATTGCTCTGAATGACTGACTCGAACCAGTTCTACCATTCTTGAACACGAATTGTTACGTTCAATTCTCGGTCCGAGAACGGGGGATTTCCAGTTCTACAGTTTGCAGCACTGTCCAACGATTAACCGACTAAAAAAAAATACAAATTCTTACTTTTCGCAATTATCTTTATTATATACATTACAAAATGCCCCAAAACTTATTTCTTAAGTTAGCTTAAGAATACATAAGGAATTTGAAAGAAAACGTTCTCATTTTCAGTTCATAATAAAGAATAGATGTTAGCAATACTTGAATTTTAAATCAAAAATAATCATTTCTATAGCTTTTATAATTTAAACTTTAGGTCGAGCAACAATTTTAATGTTTAAATAAAAGGATTATTTGGTAATAAAAAAAATAAATAAACATTTCGCCATCTTTCGGAATTCGTGCAAAGGCTGTTTGTAAAATACTCCAAATCACCACCTAGCTTCCATTATTAGAACTACAATTTAAATTTAAGTTCACTAATTTATACAATTAAGGAATTACTCATAGATCCACAGTTCGTGTCGAACATCCGTGAGCACAAGTTCGCAGAGGACGAACAGATAGTTAAAAAAAGGTAGGAGAGATACTTCCCAGTGTGTAA